CGCGCGAGTGTTCTAGTGTATATATATATATATATATATATATAGGTATGCGTATGTATTATATACATGCGTATGTGTAGTACATGTATAGATATGTCTATCATTACATTGGCATGTGCATTGTGTATACATTGAATGTATATTTATGTCCAGACGTATGTATATATATACATGTATATGTACTTGTATATGAATATCTATGTATATGCAGACATGACTAAGTATATGTATATGTACATGCACATGTATGTATGTATACGTATATGTATATGTTTATGTATATGCATTTGCATATGTGTATGCGTATGTATGTTTGTATGGTTACCTATATGTTTATGAATATGGTCCTGTGATTGTGTATGTGTATGTATTGTATATGCAAACGCGTATGCATATCTATATGTACCTGTACATGCATCTATACATATATATATATGTGTATATGTGTTATGTTTATGTATGTGTACACGTTCATGTATATGTATACGTGTACGTACACGTATATGTATAGGTATGCATATATGTATATTGGTAGATTTATGCATATGTATGTGTGTGCATATGTATATGCATGTATATGTGTATACACGGGTACATGTGTATGTATATGTTCATGTATCTGCATATGTATACGTATATGTATAGGTTCGTGCACCTGTATATTTGTTATTTACATGTTTATGCATATGTACATGTATATGCATACAAGTATGTATAGGCATACGCATATGTATACGTGTATGCACATGTATATATGTATATGTCTATGTCTATGTATATGTATATGTACACGTCTATGTACATGCATCTTTTTATGTATATGTGTCTGTACTTGTAAATGTATATGTGCATGTATATGTAGATGTATACGTATGTGCATATGTATGTGTAAATGTATATGTGTAGATATATGTATATGTGTATGTATACGTATGTATACGCATATATATATATATATATATATATATATATATATATATATATATATATATACATATCTATATACATACATATCTATTCCCGTGCACGAGGCCCGGGCGCCAGGGGCCGCGACCACGACAGGGCATGGGAGGACCAGGGCTTCCCAGACCGCTCCAAGAGCTCCCCGGAGCGGCCCTGGAGCTCCCAGACTGCCCCAGAGAGCTCCCAGAAACCCTCGGGGACTTCGACAAACCCTTCCAAGACAGCCCAGATAGCCCCAACGTGGCCCAAGATGGGTTCGAGACCGCACATACACAGCCCAAGCCTCCAAGAGGCCTCAAGAGAGCTCCGTGAAGCATCCCGAGAGAGCCCGAAGAGGCTCAAATCCTTGATTTCCATTGGTTTTTGCAATGTTTTTCGGTGTCTCGCGTTTTCGACTTCCCGGCGCTCCACGACAGCCGACGGCGCCCCCAAGACCGCCCCAAGACCGCCGAAAAGGCCTCCAACAGAGCCCTAAGACTGCCCACGGAACCCGAAAATTGCCCCGGACGAGCCTCAGACGGCCGAAGAGAGCCCCAGGACAGGCCCAAGCTGGGCCCCAGAGCGGGAGCGGGAGGCCCCACGGCGGCCCTGATGGCCCCAAGCGTGGCCCCAGATGGGCCCAACACGGCCAATACACAGCCCAAGAGCCCTCCAATGTATGTATGTATGTGTATATATGTATATATGTATATATATATATATATATATGTATATATATATATATACATTATGTATAGATATATATTATATAGATATAGCTATATATATATTATATGTATAGATATATATAAATATGGGTAGGGGGTCCCGGGCCCCCCGAAGTGCACTGGTTTGTCTTCTGGCCGTTTCGGGCCCGGCGGGGGGCGCCAAAAAACGTCAAACGGGGCCGAGAGACGTCCAAGAGGGCGCCTTGATGGCCCAAGAGCGCTCTAGAGAGCCCAAGACCGCACAAGAGCGTTCCAAAATTGGTCCAACATGGCTTTGAAGACAGCCCAAGAGGGCTTCAAGATGGCTAAGATGCCCTTCAAAAGGGCTCCCACGAGGCACTCAGGAGGCGAAACAAGTAGGTTTCCTCAATGGTTTTTGAAGGTTGTTCGTGTTCTCGCTGTTTCGTAATTCCCACGGTCCAAGACAGCCCATGAGGCCCCAGAAACCAGCTCAAGACGGCCCAAGAGGCACCCAAAGAGGGCGCCACGACGGCGCAATAGAGAGCCCCAAGACGGCCTAAAGAGTGCCCCAAGGCGGCCCCAGAGGCGCCCAAGATCGCCCCAAGAGGGCCCCAAGAGGGGCCCCAAGAGGGGGAACACGAACCGACAATTCGAGCCTTCCGCCCCAGTAAGCCTCCAGGAGGCCCCAAGAGGCCCCCAAGAGAGCCCTAGAGGCCCTCTAGATTCCCCCTAGAGGCTCCACTAGGCCCCACAGGAGCCCCAAAAGAGACCCCACGAGCATCCGTAGCCATTTTGGCTGAAGGTGGCTCTGACTGCAGCACGCAAGCGCTCATCATAGTTTCCCATCACCATGCGGACCCCGCGACCAGGCCCCTGGGGCCCGAGGCTGCCCACTTTTCCAAAACTCCCCCCTCCCCCCGCGTGCCCACTGTGTCCCTCGAAGTCCATAGGGGGGCTTTCGGAGGGCCCGAAGGCGCTCCCCAGAGGGTCCAGGAGGCTTCCGAGACGGTTCAAGAGTGCGCCAAGACGCACAAGCTGGCTTTCTTTCCGGCAGCGTCCGACGGGCTAGGAACGCTCTGAGACAACCAAAGAGGCCGGGGCAATGCGGAAAGATGGCTGCCGCGGGGCACGCTTGCACGGCTGCGCTGAACTCCTTATGGGGCACGATCCGCGTGAAGGGTCGCGCGAACACGCCCACTAAGGCCGCAGCTGGACCTCCTCCGAGCACGCCCCGTGCAAAGCGTATTCCGAAATGGGCGCGGGGGCGCCATGCAAAGATGCCCGTTCTGGAGCATGATTCGCGTGACAGGTGTGCCGACATGGGCGGGGGGGTGGCGTTGTTCGAACCTTCCGGGCCTTGAATTTGGTGGTGCTCCTTGTGGGCGTGATCCACGTGACGGGGTGTACCGCCATGGCGGGGGGGGCGCAGTGCGAACCTTGCTTCGGGGGCCGTGGGTGGAGATCCCCGAGGGCCACGATCACGATCCGTGTGCGAGGTGTGCCGAAGTAGGCGGGACGGCGGGATGCAAACCTTGTCTTTGGGGCCGTCCGTGGATGTCTTTGCGGGCCACGATCCGTATGAGAGGTGCGCCGAAGTGAGCGGGCCGATGTTATGAAGCTCCCCTCTGGTGCCGCAGATGCATTTAGTTGCGGGGACCGTGCTCGTGAGGGGCGTGCCACTCGCGAACCTCGTCCCTGGGGATGGAATCACTTGGGTCTCCCTGTGGGGCGCGATGCCCGTGAAGGGTGTGCCGGCATGGGCTTGGGGACCCAAGCCTGTCTGATGGGCCGCAGGTGGAGCCCCCTGAGGTGCACGATCCTTGTGACAATCAATGTCCTCCGATGCCGAACACTTTACACTACAACTGGGGCTCGCTGGAACCTAAGCGCGCGCGAAGCGCGCGCGTGGTTCTAGTGTGTATATATATATATATAGAAAGAAACATAAGTTGCAGTCTTAGAACATAGTTTGAAGCACATTTTGTTTATGAAGCATATTTTTAGTTTAGAAGGGGCCATCACCGAGTGCGGTCGAATGCGGCCTTGAAACATATTTTCGGTTCATTAGGGGCCATCCTGAAGGTCAGTTTCAAACCTCTTGCCCAACACGGCCATTCAAAAAGCGCCATAATTCTCCGGCCCCCCTTTGCTTCGGTCACACGAAACCGCTTTAATATTCTGGCCTCCCCCCCATTGGAAAAAGGCGCCTTAATATGCCGGCCCCGGGGGCCGCTTGATAAGGGATGTGGGGAGTCAACCGTCTTGTCCTGTTTGATTCCGTTGGTGGGTGCGTACACGAAGGGGCTTCGCTTGTAATTTGAGGGTGGTTTCCCTGCCCTCTAGCTGAAGGGCCAGTTTGAGGAAGTCTCGGGGGAATCGGGGGCGCACCCTACGGGCACGCCCTGTGGTATGTCGAGAGGGAGCCACTGACAAGAGAGAGGAATGGGGGAGGGATTTGTGTAATCACACGTGTGACTCAACCTCTGAACGTTCAGGGCCATGGAGAAGGTAGAAGATGGCGCTGATGGGGACGGAGCGGGAGGCAGAGGGTGCGGCGGCGGGGGATGGATGAGGAAGGAGGAGCGATGAATTTGCAAATGCAGGTTAGCTGGGCCATGCATGGATGGATTGATGTACAATATTCAGGCGATCGCAAACATGGATTAAGGGGGCGTGGATTAGCGACGGGTCCCGTTTCCATGGGGAATCGCGGATTCCCGCCGCCGAGCGAGGCGGCACCGGCCCCATTTTGGGGAGGGCACCTCCCCGGATTCATGTTTGCGCGCCCCCGACATGCGTGGATGGATTGATGGGTCATACAGGTGTTACGATGAGTGTGGATGAACGGAGAATTTCAGCCACTCGAGGGGCCCGGCGAGGCCCCTCGGGCTGGGGATCTTGGGGAACACATCAGTTCGACGCCCGAGCCGCCGATCCCGTCTCTTGACCGGGGTGTGCGCGCGGGCTCTTCTCACACAGTTTTCTGAACTCCGGCCGGCGTTGCGAAATTCAGTCTTGCAGGGGTATGGATTACATGTGATAGCCTAGCTCCGCCACCGTCCGCCCGTCTAGGGGGAGGACGATGAGCAGGAGAAGGAGGGAGGGAGGGGGACAAGACCTGGATGAGGATGATAAGCGGAAGGAGCAGGTGGACGAGCAGGAGGAGCAAAGGGAACAACGTAAGCCCGATGAGGACGAGCACGAGGTGGATGAGGTTGCAGCGGCAGGGATGATGAAGGAGCAGTAAGAGCATCAGCAGCAGGAAGAGTAAGAACTCTGAAGCAGCAGTCGTCGGCCTCTTCGTCGGCGGCGTCGGCGTCATCGCGCCGCCTGAGAGCTGCGGGGGGCCTTGCGGTGCCTGCTCGTCAGGACCCGCCCCTGTTGCTGCTGCTGGACCTCGAGGGCGGCGGCAACAAGGACTGTGCCGCTTCGGGTCCCGCTGAGGGCCCTGGGCCTTTGGTCGAAGAAGGCACATCTGCGTAATCAGAAACTTTGGGAGTTCGGCGCAGATCTCTTGGGTCGTCGCTGGGCCCCCTGTCGACGCCTCTGGCGCCGCTTCTGGTGTGCTTCGCAGGCCAGGGAGGGTGTGTTTGTGTCGCCGATCGAAGTAGTCGGGGCGGACCTCCGAAATATGATGCTTATGTTGTGGCTTGATTTTGGTACTCCTGAGACTACCCACACATGACACTCCCAAGAACTCTCCAGCTCTCAGGGATCGAGGTTCTTGATCTGTCGGCACTTTCGGGGCTTTGTGGGCATCCGGTGTGCGCTTTGGTCGCTTGGGGTCGCCCAGTGAGCACCCCAGGACATGCACGGTGGCTGTATTTTGAGAGGAGAGGGAGGCACGTACTTCTGACGTCCTGAACACGCAAGCAAGAAATTCTGTTGATGTCAGTTATTGGTGTCACACCTTGGTGCCTGCTCTTGATGTCTGCTCTGGGTGTCTGTTATTTGTGTCTTTGCTGGGGCCTCCTACTGATGTGTGGTCTTCTGAGATGTGTGATACGTACACTTTATGGCTGGTAGCATTGGTGACTGTTTCCCAACCGACAGCTTTAAGAGCAGGCCTCCCGACCCGCCAATTCTGCATACCGCGGCCGACCTGTCCCCGGGTCCACCGAGAGTCCCCCGAGTCTATTGCCTCGCGCCGACCCGCTCACTCTGCATGCCGCGGCCGCCAGATCCCCAGGTCTACCAAGTGTCCCCTGAAACTCCTGCCTGGCGCCTTCGACGAACACGACAGAACCTTACATCATTGAGTGCAGCATAGCATGCCAGAACATGGCATACCATAACATGACATGAACTAGCATATCATAACATATCATCACATACCTTATCATCCATGATTCGCTGAACATGCTACGACCAGACGGGGTGCATCACACAGCATCACATGACGTAATATGCCAAAACGTAGCATACCATGACATCTGATATACTCGCATTCCATAGCTTTGCGTACCATGTAATCCCAGCACGCAGCATAAGACCGTATGCTATGGCATAGTGGAGCACACATGTTCTAGCATACCACACACACTCATAACATAACATACCCTAACCTAGCATGGCATACCACCCAATGGCATAACATATCATACCACTAGTAGTCATGACACAATATTACATTCCATAACACAGCATGACAGCATAAACCATTCCATAGCATGACAGACCATATCATGACAGAGCGTTGCATCACCTATGGTACATTCGCAGAACGTAGCGTAGCGCAAGACCATATGCAATGACAGAATTGAGCTTACGAACCACACCATGACACCATACCTCATAGCCTGACACAGCACAGCACAATATGACATACCATGTCATACCATATCATACCATGGCATACCATATCATGCCATAACATAACATCACAGCACATACCATTACATATCATGACACATTCTACCCTAACAAAACAACACCATACCATATCATGTACTATTTGGCCTATGATAGCATAGCACCATACCATAACACAGCGCGGCATACCATAACATGGCAGAGCAGAGCAGAACATTACACGTAATAGCAACTCCACATGGTCTTATACCACAGAACACGGGACATCACACAACATCTTACATCAAATGTACCAAACCGCAACATAACATGATACATTAGAGCATGGCGTATTCTACGACAATGGCCACTGGCGACCTGGCCCGACCGCCGCGCTGACCAAGACAATTGGGCCTGGCGCGCATCGCTCCAGTAGGCGCCCGCACCGACCGTCGGAACAAGCGCCGAAGGTTCTTGTGGGCACCGCTCGACGCTAAGCAGTTCTTGAAGATTGCTACTTGTGTACATGATTGATGCGTATGTGCGATGTATGATAGCGATGCCGGCCGCCAGTCTCTGTTTTGGGTTTAAATTCTTCGTATAGGTTCGTGGGGCCCGCCATTGGTATACGCCAAAGGTGCGTTTTGTTTGTTGTTTCTGGAGGCGTACTCTTCATGTGTATTCTTGATGTGGGTAACTGGTATTTGTTTTTGGCGTATTGTTCTGGAGTGAATTCTTCACGCTTCGCGTATCCCCACCAGCCCATCTCAAAAGAGCAACTCTAGCGAAGCATGCCGACAGTCGTGTTTTTCAGGCATGTTTCCGCCTGCCCCCGCATATCTCCCCTGTTCCTTCTTCCTCCCGCCTCCTTGTACATCCTCCTTGTGGTGGGAGCGGGAGAAGGACGAGGCGGAGGAGGAGGGAGAGAAAGCGCTCCTCGTGGTTTGAGTCGTTCGGGCTTCTCGTCCTGGTGTGAGTCGTTCGGGCCCTTCTTCCTGGTGTGAGTCGTTGGGGCTCTTCGTGGTGTGAGTCGTTCGGGCTCTTCCTCCTGGTGTGAGTCGTTCGGGCTTCTCGTGGTGTGAGTTGTTCGGGCCCCTCGTCCCGGTGTGAGTCGTTCGGGCCCCTCCTCCTGCCCGTCCAGAAACGACGCCCAG